CATGGAGCACAAGCTGCGGTGTGGCTTGGGGCGAACTGGTGCGCGTAATGTTGCTCCCCGCCCGTCTCTTGCTGCCCAATGGAGGTAGAAATAGCGTGCTGCAGGGAAACAGGACGGTCTCCTGCTGGCCAGACGGCGCGGCTCTGCCGTCGGAGATCTCGCAACAGCAGTTTGTCACGCTGGAAGCGAAGGGGAAGGTGGTGTGCGGGGTGCAGGGTGCTCCATCCCAATCGTCTCCCTCTCCTGGACCGGCGCGATCGGGATGGAGCACCCTGATCGGGATATAAACAATAATATTTTTAGAGAAGCTCTGAACTATGTGTTTACATGTACAAATTATGTGTAAAAGACTAGGTTTACAGGTACTAGGCCTTGTGACTTTTCTTTTAATAAAAGAGATGCATTCTGTACATGTAACAGAAGAGAAAAAGTAGACCTACAGGGGCTAGTACCCTGCAGATTTCTTATATAGAAATGGGAGAAAACCGTGAGATGCCCGCGGAGTCCAGGACCCGAAGGCGCGTGGGTAGGTGTGGACATGCACCTAGCCAAAATGGGTGACACTCGGTTCTCTTGTGTACATGTAAGAAATCTGGAAATTCCATGAGAAAACTATTATCGCATTGTCAGTTAAAATATAAAATGGCAATGCGTTGCAGATGGTAAAATAAAGAATTTAATATTATATCTGAATTTCGAAGCACTGTTTCCAAATATAATGTAACTTAATGAGGTTCCATAAATGACCTGGGAATTCATCCCAAACCAGCTTTTTAAAAATAGGCCAGTGCAGGCAGCTCTTTTTTCAAATCAAAATCGAGTATCAACTCATGCAACCTTCGAAATGTGGGTTGTGTCAACAGTTTTTAATATCTTTTGGCATGAGGAATTTAAATGAATGCTGAAATGCAGTCGGCGATTAAATTTTTGTCTGCACTGCAGTCCCTATGTGCTTGCAGTCTTGCAGACAAATCAGCTTGACAGGTGCAGGTTTTCATGTGATGGTGATGCTATACAGTCTCTGGTTCCCTTTTCCTGTCATAGCGTCATTATCTTTTACCCCTAATGTTACCCACTGTTGACCACATGCAAACTTGCGAGGTTTATCTCAATATTGCATCTGATAGGCTGATAAGATGTTCTACTCGTTTACAGAATGACAAGGAACTATTTATGGAGTCACTTATTTGCAGATTAGATGATGACTGCGATAAGCTTTTGATCTGCAAACTTGATTTGGAATGCAAGAAAGCATTACATTTTGACACTGAAGCCAGCGTTACACGAGTGAGTATTTGCGGTTTCATTACTGATGTATTTTTACTATGTTGAGTTTATATATGATTTTTTCTCTAATGTGCCATTCTTAGATTCAAGCAAAAAACTGCCGGGTTGCCATTGATACTTACCGAAGTGATTTTCCTCAAGCATATACTTACGGGAGATCTCCTTTTCCAGCTCTGGACGGTTTTATTGAATCTATAGCTTCCTTTGGAAGTGTCTCAGGTTTTTGGTTCTTCCTCACAAATATCCTTCTACTCCCTTCATCCAGAAATATGAGGCACATGATTTTGACCAGCAATTATTCCAACTATATGTAGATTATCTGATACAAAATCGATATCGGTGAGAAGTGCTTTTATACTATGAACCAATGATGTTGATCTTGTATCACGCAATCCACATACTGCTGAACAAATTCTCAGCCAGAAATAAATCTTGAGAAGCGTCGCACCTTCTATTTCTGGATGGACTATTTTTGTTTGAGACAGTGGTTATTTTTCTAGCATACATTTATGTGTTATACAAGACTCAGTTTCAACAGGTTTGTCTGCCTCCGGCAGTCTATTTGAAATTCTGAAATGTGTGTTTGTGGGCAGTCCTGTCAAAGAACGTGGTTCCACAATATGCCTATAGTACCCTGTTCTTTAGAATAAAAACCATTCAATGGCAACATAACCTGAGCGTATGCTGTCTAGTTGTGTGCTGCTGCTGCCTTGGTGCTGTATGAATACGGCACATTGCTACACTAGTATGCTGGCCATGCATGTGACACTACCTTCAGTTGGAAATGTGTCTTCCTAAGCCCCTCTACAGTAAAATAAAAAAGAATCGTTTCTGGTCATTAATCCTGAACTTTTGCTGCGCTGTTTCATTTGCTGAAGGCTTCACAGTATTGGTGTTTCCGCAGATAATATTGTAATATATTTTTAGGAGATTATTTCTTATAGTACTCTTATTTAATTAATTTTATGCTGAAAGCAAATAAATGCTGCATTCTGGGAAATGCAAGTCTTACTCTTTCATCACTACTTAAACATTTATTTATTATTGCAGGGAAAATTCGATGCTGGTACTGGTTTTCCCAAGATGGTTTAATGATTTATAGCATGTCAAGGAGTAGATACTGTGAGCATATTGGAAGAGAGCATAAAAGCAATCATGGTAACATTTTACTGTTCTCTGTATATGACTTTCTTGCACAGGAGTGCATTACTTTGTTGATGCTGCTTGCAAATGTACCATAATCAGTTAGTTGAGAAAATACCATAAGTTTATACTGTACTTTGTGTATGCTACTATAGTGTTGTTTGGATGTGTACCATCATGTGTTTGCTCTTAATTTACTGTTAGCATTTTTGCAAGAACATACGTATAATGGCCATGTGCTGCTGCAACAAATCCTTTGTGTTATGTTCTTTGCCTTTAGTATACAATATTTGACCAAATAATACTTGACATGTTTGTTAAGCATTACAATCATCTCATGTTGTGTTCATCTGCTAGCTCACTCTGCTGCAAAATCATCGTAAGTGCGTATTATCATAATTTTCCATTAATGAGGATGCTTGAAGTAGTTAGCCTATAATAGCTGCAATGATTTTTTTTACAAAAAAGTTTTCACAAACCCTACAAAGATGATCAAAGTAGGAAACATTATTAACTGCGTGTCGGTGACATGTGGCCCTCAACTCCCCTTTTAGCCTTCACTAGATGTTTTCAGTTTAGATGAATACTTGCAAGCAAAATTGCCTGCACATGTAGGTGTGTTTTCTGAAGTTTGTCACTGCTTCATGTTAGCATATTAGCTAATCACTAATCCTGACTGACGGTGCACCAGTTATGTACATTGTGGATTTCCAAAGAGCTGCGTATTACCAGAAGTGTTATGACCCTGATTGTCGAGGTAAGAAAGGAACATCGATTGTTCCAGTAACTCCCATTTTTCACTATAATCATTTCCTCTTAACATGAGTGCTTTGGAATGAACAGGGTACCGTTCTCCACTGCGTGCCGTACCCTTGGATGCGATTCCTGAGCTCACCACCTCCATAGCCGGATCGGCCCAGAGAGATTATCAAGGGAATGTTGTGGAATTCAATATGGAAGGCGGCGGAAACGATGGTAACTCTGTTATGGGGAGCGGGGAGGTGGAGGAGGATCCTGGTTGGTGGGAAGAAGCGGTGAAGTTTGCTGACAGTGTCGAGAATGTCGATCATGCTCCTCCTGCATCTTGTAACTTGGTTAGTAGTTTGTGTCACTACTCGCTTTTGCTGCCCCAAGTTGGTCGGTCGAAGTCACGACCCCTGATGTGTGTGTGTGTATCACAGGAGGATGGCGGCTGTGACGATACTGACTGGTGGACGGATGTGGAAAGGTTTATGGTGCAGATGGAATCACAGGGCGATGCATAGGGAGGGTTCTTGCAACCACGGTTACTGAACACGTTTGTTCATGGTAGATGTAGATGTAGCTGCCATAAGGTACATAGAATGCCTGACATTTGGTTCGCAGAATCTGTTGAGGGAAGCGATGTGTATTTAATTGCTTGACAAGGTAAATTGCATTGGTAATCCACAGATGAGCCCAGGCCCTTTTCGAAAAAAAAAGATGAGCCCGCCCAGGCTCCTCTTGATGAACAGTAAGTTCAAAAAAATAGCAAAAAAAATCTGAATTTTTTAGGCTTCTAAGATGCTCGGATGTGCTTGGAGCGTGCAAATTTCTATTATTATTACCAAGAAACAATATGATGGTAAGATTTGAGGAGGGACTAATGGTATTGACACAAATTTCCTATTATTAAAGAAAAAAAAACAAATTGGTGTGTACAATGAGAGGCATGAACGTATGGGGTTGCTCTAAGTCGAGTTTGTTTTTCTGGGTTAATTCGATAGGTGCCATTGCAATTCTAGCAAATTTGAGAAAAGTTTCAAAGTTTAAAAAGTCCCACTCCAATTCTCCTGTATGTCCATACAGTCGATAAGACCAAGGAGAGGGAGTCACCGAGTCAGGGAGCAGGAGAGGTTTTCTTTGGTTTTTTCATATATATTTTTCCAATACACGAAACACGTTGAATATTTTTCAAACACATGAAGTACATGTTTCGATTTTTTTAATACATGTTGAACATTGTTTCAAATACACATTGGCCATTTTTTATAAATGTCAATGTTTAAAAAATATTAATGGGAACATTTTTTTTACATTGTATAAACATTTCTAGAAATATTCATGAACATTTTTTTTGAAAAATGCGTGAATTTTTTAAATATCATTTTTAATGGCACAAAACATTTCTTAAAATGTATGTGAACTTTTTAGAATGTCACAAACATATTTTTGAAACACGTGAATATTTTTTTAATGTCATAAGCATTTTCTTAATGCTATCACTATTTTTTACACTATTATATCCCTTTTAAAGATTGAACTCAATTAATTTTTGAATTAAGTATTTAGAATATTCAAAAATAACAAATGTAATAAAAAGAAAATAGAAGTAAAGGACGAAACAAAGAACGCAAGCTAACAAATTAACGCTACGGGGCCAGCTCACATTGCGGGAGGGGAAAACGGGCGCATTTCTGTTCGGGCCAACATCGGGGTGGTAGAGGGCCCAGGTGGGCGGTGCCGCCCTAGCGCGGGCCGCACACGCAGCGTACCTCAAGGCCCATCCGCCGTCTTCCTAAACCCTAGCACCTCTCCCCTGCTTCAGCCACCAGCCGCCAGAGCCATCCATACCTTCCGGTCGCCACCGGCTCTCCTCTCCCTTCCTCCTCCTCCTCCTCTCTCCCTCCCTCCGCCGGCGGCTCTCTCCTCCTCCTCACCACCCCACCCCACCCCCTGCATCGTCGTCGGCGGCGGCAAGATGCCGAAGAAGAGCAAGAAGAGCAAGAGCAAGCGGGTCACGCTCAAGGCGAAGCACAAGGTGCTGCGCAAGGTCAAGGAGCACCACCGCAAGAAGCGCAAGGAGGCCAAGAAGGACGGCAGGAGCGGCAAGAGCAAGATCGAGAAGGACCCCGGGATCCCCAACGAGTGGCCCTTCAAGGAGCAGGAGCTCAAGAACCTGGAGGTCCGCCGCGCCATGGCCATCAAGGAGCAGGAGGACAAGAAGGAGGCCCGCAGGGAGAGGGTAAGCAACCACCCGCCTCTCCTCTTACTTTCGCCCCTGGCGTGCTGCCACCAATTTCTCAGTGTTCGGCCGGGGTCACAAGACAAAGTTATTAGCCATCGTTGATGATCTTACTATATTATTTCTCAGTGTCAAACGATTACTCTTCCATAGTTCCGTAGGTGTCATTAGATGCTTGCCTAGATGGATTTGTTGGCCAGATGATGAGAGTTAGCAATTTCCTTTGCGAACTCTGCCTTCGGAAGTCTGTTATTGATGCTGTCTGGTTGCAGAAGTTGAACACTGATCAAATATTGTGGCCTCCTCTTTCAGGCTAGGAAGAGAAAGCTCGGATTACCCGACGATGAAGACATGGCTAATGACAATGACGCAGCAGAGGAGACTGTTGCTTTAGCGGTGCCTAAGACCAATGGTTAGCTTCTTTTTCCCCATTGCCGGTGTTTTTCGGCCTACTGCTTGCATGAGCATTATTTGCTAAAGCTGCTGAATGTGCCTCCAGACCATTCGGAGAGAGCCTTCTACAAGGAGCTGGTTAAAGTCATCGAAGCTTCCGACGTGATTCTCGAGGTTCTTGATGCAAGGGACCCACTGGGCACCCGTTGCGTTGACATGGAGAAGATGGTCAGGAAGGCCGATCCAACTAAAAAGATTGTGCTGCTTCTCAATAAGATAGGTATAGTGTAGCTTTTGATGAATTTATCACCGGTATGATCTTTCCTGTTTTTCTGCATCTCATGGTCATCTTTTTTGTGGATTGTAGATCTTGTCCCCAAAGAGTCGGTAGAGAAGTGGCTTTCATATCTAAGGGAGGAATTGCCAACCGTTGCATTCAAGTGCAACACTCAAGAGCAGAGGACCAAGCTGGGATGGAAATCATCAAAGCTCGATAAAACAAGCAATATCCCACAAAGCAGTGATTGTCTTGGTGCTGAGAATCTGATTAAACTGCTAAAAAATTATTCCAGGAGTCATGAGGTATCCTATCTCGATGTTTTTAGAGATGATCGAAGACTGTCTTTGTTTGTGTGTATTTATCTAGCTTCATTTAGGAGTTTCACTTGTACTTCATGCTATTGGATTTTGTCCTTTTGCCTTGCTGTCCTGTTCCATGGAAGCCATATCAACATTGACAGACAGTTTTATTTTCACACATGCACCTGAATTTTCTGTGTGGACGTTGTTTAATCTCATCATGACATTTTGATAACTACTCCTGATTTTAGAGTGGTCTTGTGCCTAAATTTCACTATTGGGTTGTGCTTGCAGCTCAAGTTGGCAATTACTGTGGGTATTGTTGGCCTTCCTAATGTTGGCAAGAGCAGTCTAATCAACAGTTTGAAGAGATCCCGTGTGGTTAATGTCGGCTCTACTCCAGGGGTTACTAGATCAATGCAGGAGGTTCAGTTAGACAAGAAGGTGAAGTTGTTGGATTGTCCTGGTGTTGTGATGCTCAGATCTGCCAGCAGTGGTGTGTCTGTAGCCCTTCGCAACTGCAAAAGGGTTGAGAAGATGGACGATGTAATCACTCCTGGTAGGTGTTATCGTGCATTATCATCACTCAAACCAGCTTTTTGATAATTTATATTCATCCCAGTTACTGTACTTGTAGTTTACTTTGCTGATACTAATCTGATAATAAGCTAGTACATTATTATACCTGGAAATGCATTATCCAATGACTTACTCCATACTTATTGTATAATTGCAGTTAAAGAAATCCTCAGTCTTTGCCCACACGAGAAATTGCTGTCTCTGTACAAGGTGCCAAGCTTTACTTCAGTTGATGATTTCCTTCAAAAACTCGCTACACTCAGGGGGAAATTGAAAAAGGGTGGTATAGTGGATGTGGAAGCTGCTGCAAAAATAGTGATTCATGACTGGAATGAAGGTACAATAGACAAGTTATCCTGTAATTTTTATTTTGTTATTTTGTTTCCAAGCCATCTAACCCTCTTGTTATTAGGCAAGGTACCCTACTTTACACTGCCACCTAAAAGGGATGTTGTGGAGGACGCCAATGCAGTAATTATCACAGAAGATGGAAGTGAATTCAATGTTGATGAAATTTACAAAGCTGAGTCTTCATATATTAGTGGTCTAAAATCTATGGAGGAGTTCAGTCATATTGAAATTCCATCTAATGCCCCACCAGAGATTGATGAAGCGATGCTCGAGGTATTTCTTACAAGCCACAGTGGTCTTCCTTTATTTAAAACAGCAATGTTATCATTGTAGATTTTTGCAGTCAGCTACCCCTTTCTTGACAGTATTCTACTCCCTCCGTTCACTAATGGCCTGTTTGGTTGGAGGTTTAATTTGCCACGCCTAAGGTGAGGTATCAGCCACACCTGTGGCGCGCCGCAGAAGTGTGGCGAGCAAAACAAACGCCACACCTTTTGGCAGAAATCCTACTGGAGAAATCACTATACACTGTGGCAAGCCAAACATTAGTATAGAACCAAACGCATGCCTAGAAAGTTGTGGCACGCTACACCTTTGGCTTGGCAAGCTAAGGCTGGAACCAAACAGCCCCTAAGTCTTTTTAGAGTTTCCAACAAGTGACTACGTACTCCTTCAAAACAAAAAAACAAGTGACTACACATGGAGCAAAATGAGTGAATCTATACTCTAAAGTATGTCTACATACATCCGTATGTTGTAGTCCATTTGAAATGTCTAAAAAGACTTATATTTAGGAACAAAGGGTACACTTTAGTTCCTATATATGCTTGGTTGGCCATGTTCTAATTCTAACTAAGTTATATACTGTAGACCTGTCAAAGGCTCTTGCTAGACAGAGAAGAAGCAAGCTTTGGTATCTCTTGTGTTTGGAGACGTCAAGTTAACTTTCAAGTTGCATATTACTAGCAGTACAGCTAGATAATATTTGTCTTGCATTGAACAGGATCCCCCAACGCAGAGTGCACCTGTGAAGGACGAATCGATGTCGGACGCGAACGACCGTGAAGGAAGCAAGGCGGCGGCCAGCGGTGGCACGCAGCACGACAAGCTGTACACCGCCGAGGGCATCCTCGACCCCCGCAAGAAGAAAGCGGAGAAGAAGCGGCGCAAGGGGAACAAGTTCAGCGTGCTGAACGACATGGACGCGGACTACGACTTCAAGGTGGATTACCAGATGAAGGACGCCTCCCCCGCGGACGATGAAGAGGGCGATGGCAGCAAAGGCGAATGCGAAGAACCCAAGGGTGAAGACGACAAGAAAGACGCCCCTGCTGCGGAGTGCGAGCCCATGACGACGAGTTGATGATGCGTCATGAGATA